TCGTTCATCATTTCCCTCTGTATAAACGTTTAGGTTTGTTCAATCGTCTCTGCGGGCACTTCACTTTTTCTGGTGTATTTGCTGAAAAGTGGGGAAACTGCGCCGAAAATTTTGGAAAGTGAGAGAAAAAATTCCGAAATTTTTTCATCGTAAATTTTCAGGTTTTTTCCTGGCGTTCGCTTGTGCGGTGATGACTTGTGATAGTTTTGGTCATCTCGTTCCACAGGTTATGAACGCTGGAGGAAACAGTAAAAAGTTTATGCAACTTTCACGACCACAATTTTTCCACTCAGGCTTGGTTTATTTCGCACTCGGCGTGGCGCTTACTTTTGGGATCAATAAAGGTGTTGATTTACTTCACGAAAAACAGCACAAAAATCACACCGGAAGAAAAAGAGATGAAATCAAAAATTTCGGCATCGCCAACTTACTCGTAAGTTCATGGCTTTGCATTGCAAAATTTTCCGTAATTTTTGCAAAAAAATCGCAAATTTTGTGCAGTTTTCTGTAGAAAATCAGAATTTGTACATGGAATCTCTGAAGCGATACGAAATCTATAAATGTTATCATCGAATTCGTTGGTCGCATATTTTCGTTTGGAAATTTACCTACATTACGTGAAATGGTAATTTTAACAAAATTTCGCGTGTAAGGGGAAGGGGAATTTTTTTTCTCGAAAAATGAGAGCGATGCTCGTAGTTGTCGGAGTTTATTGGGCGAATTTAGAAGAGTCCGTGAAACTCCAATATATACTTTATGAAAATAAAATTTACGGCTATCAAGAGTATTGTTGCTCAAATGTAAGCTATATAAGATCATATGGTGACGTGATTTGGGAGAAACTCACCGGAGAGAACGCTTTTATCAAACCGAAAACTTGAGTGATTCACAACTGTCTGTCTGTTGCTTGTCCTTTTCGGGGGAATAGGTGATTTGCTATGCACACACGTGCAATCGCGCACAATGGGTAGAAGCAGTAACACTGTCACATCTGAGATTTTCCGTATTTTTCTGGGAACGGCCAGCATGCTGTTACGAAATAATTTTCATTTTATTTCAGATCGAACTCGTTCATAACTTCGTTGATGGTCTTTCTCTTGGGATGGCGTACCTTAGTTCAAGTAAGATGAATAAAAGTATATAATTTCATACCACACTTCGTAGACATCGCAAGTGGTCGGACGGTGACCATCGCAGTTGCAGCTCACGAAATTCCTCAGGAGCTTTCTGATGGACTACTACTCTTAGCTGCTGGTCTACAACCGCGCAGATTGCTCTGGTAAGCGAGAATGTAAAGTTATGGAAACTCACTTATACGCATTATGGATACTAAGTATTATGATACTCGTTGGAGTTTCACCACCCTAGTGGTATGAAAAACAATAGTGAAAAACATATTTTACGACTACTGCATATCACCGCGAATAAAATCGCGTTTTTCACCACTTCACGTAAAACTAGTGAAACTTCTTCATACAGTCACCGCACACCTATTATGAAACTACCATCGTATCTAGAATACTACCAATACCTCAAATAGTTTTCAAATATCGCGGTTTTCGCAGATTTCTCGAAGACTAGTTTGAGTAGTGGTCAATGCCTTCTAGCTATAACCTGTGAGTGTGAGCCCGCAGTTCTGGGCTAACTCTGAGAATTGAAAATGGGTGCTGAAACTAATCTTGGAGAAGTTCGCGGAAAACGTGGTATTCCAAAATCATCGGAGCACTCACTGTACAATAAAGCGGCCACTGACGATTATGAGTGTTGAGAGAGCTTGCAAGGCTGCGGTGCATCGATTACAGGGGACGTTGGAGTTTCATGATTACCCGTTTTACGTGAAGTGGCGCCGTAATACTCCGTGAAAACGTGATTTTATTCGCGGTGATATGCATCAGTAGTCGTGAAATACATTTTTCACTAGTGTTTTTCATATCACTAGAGTGGTGAAACTGCATTTTTTCCTTACTGGAAAGAAAAACATGACTCGTTTCCATACTTGGTAAACTCTTGATTCGTTTTTCTTCTTAGGTTGAATTTCCTGGTATCGCTAACTTGCCCTTTGGGTGTGGTGGTGGCGTTCTTCTTGCAAACTGCTTTGGCTCGTAAAGCTTACGCGGTAGGGCGGGGTAAAATTTGGAGATTTTTATAGGAAATATTTCAGTACAGTTTGAATTTTTAACGATCTGCAATTTGCAGTTTTTGAGTGAAAATTTCACATCTTTTACGTGAATATTTTTTGTGAAAAAAATCAGTATTCTCTGTGTGACTGTGGCAAAGTGTAGAAAATGTGGAAATATTCAATTATAAGATAACTGCGAATATCAAAAAATTGGTAATATGCACGCATGGACATATCGGCGTTGACTTAGTGCATTCTCCGATGTCGTATTTGAAATGCGAAGTACATTGGAGTTTCACCCTAGTGATGTAAAAAAACACTAGTCAAAAACATATTCCACGACTACTGCACATCACCGAGTATTAAGCCACTTCACGTAAAACAGTCGAAACTCCATTGTTGAAGTAAAGACGAGTATATTCCATCTCTCTGCAATGTTTTGTTAATCTACTGCACATTGGAGTTTCACGACTACCCGTTTTACGCGAAGTGGCGTAAAACTCGGTGAAAAACGCGATATTCGCGGTGATATGCAGTAGTCTTGAAATAAGTTCTCTCATTTCACGGCTCGTGAAACTCCATTGTTGCCGTATCTGTCCACTTCATTTTAGGCGACAGCAGCGTTGGCTGCCGGAAGCTTTACGACCTTCGCCGTTTTCATCTTGGGGAAGCAACTTTTTTCTACAACTTGGAAACTTCTAACAACGGGTCACTCGACAGGACCGCTGCATTTCTTGAAAACGATCGGACCTGTTGTGATCGCAGCTTGGCTCGGCGTGGCGCTGGTGAGAATATCTTAGGTCTTATCTGGTAAGATTCAAAAGAGGTCAGGTTCATTCTGTCCATGAGGCTGCCGAGGGACAGTTGGCGAGTGATGGTGATTCGTTCAGCGTCGTTACTGCCTTACAAGCCTTCTTTCAGCCTACTGTAAGTCCTTCGGTTTTTACATTCGAATTTGAGTCTAATAATACAACATGGTCATCCCTTTGCAGTCGGCTCGATCTTTATGCGGCTTGTTGTTGCATACGGCCTGGCGGTCGTTTATCTGCTCTTTTTTTCAGGTTTATGTTCACGACGAAATGTAAACTATTTGTAGATATATAGATGCTCAGTTGCCTCAGTTATTGTCATTGTTTTGAGTTATCTAGTGATGCGATATCTGGAACGCGAGAGCCTAATCTGAATACTTGATCATACTTTGATGTCAATGCAATATGTTTTCGATGAGAGTTCAATATACCACTCCTGGTCGGTGGCTCGTCACGGTCCGTCCTTAGAAATACCGATGAGGGAAAACACTCAGAGACACAGAGTGAGTCCATCAGAGTTCGAGTAACACTCAGTGAGTGTTGTCATCCTCTTCGGTGATTGCTCCCGGAAGTGGTGGGAATGGGATGAAATTAAGAAGCTCCTTTTGCCCTTGACCATACCATGATGTAGGGAACGCGGGGTCTCTGCGAGCGGACCCTCTCGTGAGGTCCGTGTTCATAGAACACCAAACGGATTACAAAGAAGAGCTACGTGACCATTTCAGCCATCGCCGGACTCCACTACTGAGTTCTTCGTGTCCTCAGATCAGCTTGGACATAGGGCAACCCCTACGCGCTC